CTGTGGACTGGATCCAGTTATTCCTTTCTGTTGAGCAAGGAGTCTTCCTCTGATGAAATACAGGAGTAATTGGAGTGAGCTCTCTGCAAGTGGGTGTTTATGGGGAGGAGGAACAAATAAGAGAAACTAGGTTCAATGGAACTGGATTACAGATGCTGTAGTTGGGGGTCACACTAGAGTGCACCCATAGTACTTTCGGTATGACTTCACTACTAAAATAAGATTTGCTTTCTATTCATATAGTATCAAAATAATACATCATAGTATCAAAATAATACATCATTTATCAAAGTCATCATAAAAAGGCTGCAACTGTGTTTACTTATTCTGGACAACAACCTAATGTATTTAGCTGAATAAATCTCCTTTGTCATGAGATTAAAATTAATAGAAACTCAATTACTGACCAGTGGAGGCCCCCCCTTCACCCAAGATGAAGCGACCAATTTGTAAAGTTTAATGTCCCATTAAGGAATAAAGAAAACTATAGACACACACAGAGATCTTGGCCAACAGGAGAATTTTTCTCTAGTGACAAGCAGTGCAATCTTTTTAAATGTTGTTTGGAAAAGAACAGAATAAACAGAGTCAGCTGATTGTCTCCTTACAGCTTGAGCAGCAGAAGAAAAACAATGGCCAGGGAACAGATTTAAGGAGAGAATAGTCAGTGAGGTTCCCCCCCCCCCTTCCTTAAGTATAATGAATCAGCACCCACTCTTACCATTATGTACAGTTGCAGTCAGGGCTCTTTTTGTAGAAAAAGCCCAGCAGGAACTCATTAGCATATTGGGCCACACCCCTAACAGCACAGCTCATTAGCACATTAGGCCGCATCCACATGTTATCAGATGTGTGGTTGTCCAGCCACACCCACCTTTTGCTTGTTATTCTGTTTACCTTGTTTGTTGTCAAAACCAGGGCTTTTTTGTAGCAGGAACTCCTTTGCATGTTAGGCCACACACCCCTAATGTAGCCAATCCTAATGAGTTTCTGCTGTTGGGTGTGGCCTGTTATGCTAATGAGTTCCTGCTGGGCGTGGCCAACTTGGGAGCCAGCCGGAACTCCGTTCCTGTGCGTTCCTGCCCAAAAATAGCCCTGGTTGCAGTAGAACATGGAGCATTGGCCCTGAGGTACCTCCAGCAGCCAAGGCCATCCTGCTCTGCGGTTTGTCAGTTGCAATCCTGTTATGATTGATTCCTGCCACAGACTGTGCACACACTACCATTTACGAAGTACTTGTTTACTATGGCGTGCAGCCATGATGACCATTTGTTTTAATAAATATAAGTAACTGGCAGACTGTGGGTGTGGGTGTATGTAAGCCAGCAGTTGGTAAATGGCCAATTTACCCCAGTGGTAACTGTGCAATAATGAAATTGTTGGTTTTGGTTAGTACAATATTTTCTTATCACCTAAACCTGTTTTGAGCTGCACCCCCTACAGAAATTAAATGCATGTTGTCTGAGCCGTGCTTAACTAGAAATACTAATTTTGTCGACCAGGTATCCTCCTTCCATGTATATCTTGGTGCCGCATCCAGCAGAACGGAACTGGAGCTGAGGTTTTTCCTCTTCCTTTCCTCCACTCCTGTTCCATTGTAGGGCATCAGCTGAACCAGATATTACATGATTGTGTGTGAAACCACTGGGAACTGAAAAGGAAGCCCATGGTCCTATCCCAATCATTTCTTCTACCTTCGTACATTAGAAATCACCCATCATCCTCATTCTTTAAGAAGATAGATGGGTGAATCCTCCTGTATGAACTAGTCACCCATTTCGGGCTTTTTCAAATGCCACTGAGTGAATGCAGTGATGGTAATTTTGCAGGTGTTTATAGTATTGATCCAACCTGTTGCATCAGAGGGATGTTGTTTGTTGGCTCTTAAATGCAGAAGAGTGTGCGCGCTTGATGTTCGCTAACATATCACAATAACAGGTGTCTGTTGGGCAGCCTCATAGAGGAAATGTTTGGTTTGTTCAGATAGTTTGAATAGTCTTTTGTGATTAAAGTTCTTTTTTTAAAAAAAAATCCTCCATGCTGTAAGTCGATTGGAACAGGGGAGCGGGGGTCTGTGTCATGTGGTTTTACTTTAACCCACCTTTCCTCCAAGGAGTTCAAGAAGGCATACATGGCTGTTCTAAGTTATCCTCCGAACAACCCTATGGAGAGGGGGGGGGGTGAAGATCACCTAGTAAGCTTCGTGGGTGTAGATTTGAACCCAAGTCTCCTTACTCTTAGCTTGGCACTCTAATCACTACACCATACTAGTTTTCTCTTTGGTGTACAGTTGGGGGTTAAAAACCATCTTCTAGTATTTCTCCACAGCTCTAAGTGCATCATGGGGTTCATTTTTCACAGTGTTCATGCTGGGGGTTAGTGCAACATCTTTCATAGTCCAGTGGTCCGAAAAGACACTAGTCAACCCTGCAGTCTCTCTCGGGCGAGCAGCCTTTCTTCATGCTGTGTACTCACGCAAGGCTGCCTTTTCGTGATGTTAACGAGCTTATCCCTATGTCACCGATCACTGTCTGGAACTTAATTGAATGCTTTAGACGTGGCTACCCCCAGACCCTAGCTATTGGCTTTCTAACACTCAGGATATTTGTCCAATGTTATCTCTCTAGCTATGCATCCTCATTCCTAGTATTCTAGCATGACTGGGAAATGGTATCCAGGATGGGGCTAACATCTTATTGGGCACAGAGTTGGTTTTCTTCCCAATGTTACAACAGCCCCAAATGTGCACCTTTAGTGTCCCCCCCCCCTGCATCAGTGGATGCTCACCATTCAGTCCTAGGAAGAAGATGAGCATGACATGCATGGCTGTGTCATTGCAATGAGGGCGAAAGCTGTCTTCATATTTTGTGGCCTGGTGCCAGCAGAGATTGCGTGTCTCTCTGAGATAGACATGTACTCTTGCAATGCAATCCTTCCCATCATAATGACATTTTGCTAGTCATTACTATTCAGCTGTCTGGCATTTTTAGATAATATGTCTTCCACACAAAGTGCAATTGGGGTTAAGCTCAGTCCTCAAACCTCCTTTTATTACCGGAGACTCTTCTGTTCACCGTAATATGCCACGGATAAGCTCAGCGTTGAGCCCGGCAGTCAGCTGGCAGACAGCAAGCCAAAGATTTCCTGTACCATCCGAGCTCCTTTGAATTTTAAAGTGTTTCTTATCATTATTTAAATTATCGTTCGATTTAATGCAGACCAGGGCCCTGGTGCACCAGGGACCTGTGTGTTTGTGAAGCGAGGTTTCTGCAGAAAAAACCTCCGGAAGGATCATTCCCTTAATGATTAATTGGTGTTTCATTTGGGGCAAAGAGGGTTGGACCAAATCGGTTAGCATCAGAGGTCCAGTTTTCACACTATCGAGATGGCACGTTAGTGACTGAAGAAAGCTCTTGAATCAGTTAGGCTGGCACAGTTCTTTGTGAGTCTCACTAGTACAAAGGTTGGGAACTTCTTCTTTTTTCTTTTCAAAAACAATTTATTAGGATATATTATTAAGTCAAATACACAACATATTACTAATTGTTATACATCCTTTCTCCCATTATCCCACCCCTTCTGGCTTCCCACAGTGCTCCAACCTCCAGCCCATTCCTTAAATTTTCATTATTTCCCCCTTATCTTTCATTCATAGTCTACCGGTAACACTTCCTTCTACTATTATTTTCTTATAATGAACTTTCTTCTAATAACATTAACTTTTCAATAATTGTCAAAGCAAATTAAATTAAGATCTTTCCAGTCTGCGTAGAATTCTTCTGCTCAAAGGTTGGGAACTTCTGATCGTTTCACGCATAGTGTTATCAAGTACTGAGCTTGTCACTGGATAAGGTTGGACTCACTGATGGTGCTACATGAATGAATGAAAGGCAAATGCACCCCGCCAACTGATCCCCATTGCTTGATAGCTGTAGGTATAGGGTTCGATCCAGCCAGCTTTTTGACTCGACCGTATCCTATCCCCCTCCCCTACTATAACCCCTACCCCAAACGTCTTTTCTCCATGCAGGTTCCGTGATCACCAGCCCCACCCTTTTTGGTGGCCAGGCGGGAGCCCCTCCTTCCTTTCCCATCAGTGGAAAATGGGATTGCTAACTTCAGTTTGGAAAACTCCCAGAGATTAGGGGGGGGTGCCTGGGGGACGTTTAGGGTTGGGAAGGATCTGAGCAGAGATGTCACAGAGTCCACTCTGCAAAGCTGCCGTTTCCTTCAGGGGAATGACCTCTGTAGTCTGGAGACGAAGTGTAATTCTGGGAGAATAGCAGAGCCCACCCCGAGGTTGGTAAACCTAGTAAAAAAAGCTCATAGGATCTCACCCAGTGCTTGAATAGCATGGTCATGTGAACTAGGGTATTTAACACATATCCCAGATCCACTCATTTTGCCCCCTTTCTGAGTATTTTAAGTGTTCTGGGTGCAGGTTCTCTCCCCCCCCATGCTTTCCTACTCGGAACAGAAAATGGGCATTCTCTTCCTGCATTGGTCCCCAGCAGTGTGTAGGCCAGAGAGGAGCCACTTTAAGTTAGCACAACATCCATCTCTTAGCTACAGAGATTGAAACAGCTCCAGTTGCACAATGTTAGGGTAGCCTAGGCATACCTTTCAACCTGTTTTGACCCAGGACCTGACTTACAATACTGAACCCAGATTTTGTCTTAACATTTTTGCCTTTGCTACATCTGCCTAGATGTGTTCTTCTTTCTTTCCCTCTCTTCCCCCTCCCAGTGCTTCCAAAACATAACCTTTGCACTGAATGACTGTAGAGAATTCTCCGTTTGCATTCTCTGTAGGCTTCAAACATCTTTTATTCAGGTGTCACACAAAGTTTCTTTGAAACTGGTTGCGATGGATTTCAAAAGACAGTATCAAATCCTGGACATGAATTTCAGTATTTTTATTAACTTAGGAGTAGTTATTTTTATATGCTTTTTGTGCTGTGATATTTTATGCTGCTATGATCATTTCTGTTTTTTTTTTAGGAGTACACCATAGACATAATTTTTGCCCAGACTTGGTATGACAGCCGCCTGAAATTCAACAGCACCATGAAAGTACTCATGCTAAACAGCAATATGGTTGGGAAAATCTGGATTCCGGATACTTTCTTCCGAAACTCAAGGAAATCAGATGCCCATTGGATCACGACTCCAAACCGCTTGCTACGCATTAGAAATGATGGACGAGTATTATATACTCTCAGGTAGAAGTTGCCCCCAAATAGCTGGAAGAAGGCATGCTTGAATCTTTTATACTATATGTACTGTTGTTTGCTGCTAATTGACAATTTTACAGGCTTCTTTTAAAGTGACAGGGTGTTCAGCACAATCCTGTGCATAGTTTGTTGTTCAGTCGCACAGTTGAGTCTGACTCTTCGCGACCCCATGGACCAGATCACGCCAGGCCCTCCTGTTTTCCGCCGTCCTCTGAAGTTTGCTCAATTTCATGTTCGTTGCATCAATGACACTGTCTAACCATCTCATCCTTTGCCGTCCCCGTCTTCTTTGACTCTGAAGTAAATCTCAATGACAAGTACTTCCAATTAAGGGCCTTTATGATTTCAGTCTACAGGTCTACTCAGATGGAACCAACCAACCATGATTTCTTCCTTAAGAACATGAGTCTAGAAAGTCACCATGTTAGTTCTCTGCTTCCCCACCCCCCTTTTCCCCTCTCACATGGCAAGGATATCAAAGACTTCCTGGTTTCCCCCAAACTGACAGAATTCCATGACATCAGAATTGGATGAAATGACAACTTGTGTATGTTCTCTTGCCTACAGACTATAAATAAAACGTGATTTGGAATCTTTGTAAGAGAAACAGGCTTTATCTTATTTTACGTAATTTGGAGATCACAGCTCTTGGGAACCAGGATGCCTTCTATTCCCATGTTGTGTGGAAGCAAGGGGAGTGCACAAACTCTGATTTTGTTCCTGTAACCACAGGCTAGGATCTGCTACATTTGGGAGCAGTGTAAATAAATTAGTAAAAAAGGTAAAGGTAAAGGTCCCCTTGCTCGAAAGCCAGTCGAATCCGACTCTAGGGTTGCGGTGCTCATCTCCGTTTCAAAGCTGAAGAGCCAGCGCTGTCCGAAGACGTTTCCGTGGTCATGTGGCCAGCATGACTAAACACCAAGGCGCATGGAACGCTGTTACCTTCCCACCGAAGTGGTACCTATTTATCTACTTGCAATTTCTTGCTTTCGAACTGCTAGGTTGGCAGGAGCTGGAACTAGAGACGGGAGCTCACTCTGTCACGCGGCACACTCGGGTCTTGAACTGCTGAACTACCGACCTTCCACAGCCTGCAGTTTAGTGTCTTAACCACATGAGCCACTGCAGCTCCCCCAAATAAGTTAGTAGTGTCATGCAAAACTTCCTGTCTAAAACTCAAAGAAATACAGGCATCTAACTGTTACAACCAATAAAATAGATAAAAATAAAACACCATAATCAATAAAATGCTGTATACTAATAGTGCCACCCTTCACCACAACATTTCTTATTGATCTAATGCAAAGGCCCTCCAGAAAAAGCAGGTCTTCACACACTTCCAGAAGGCCTTAAAGGAGAAAGTTCTCCTCTGTTCCTGTGGGAGGGAGTTTCAAAGTTAGGAGAAAAAAGCATTCCACAGGCTCCCACTAGCTCTGCTGAGGATGACTTCCAGAGGAAGTCCCTCTAGATTTATCTCAAGTCTTGGATTGGCTGATACAGGTGGAGGTGGTACTCTGGGCCTGATAAAGAATAGCATCCAAGACTACAGCTATGATCCACGGCAGTAAACATACACCCAGACACATCAGCTGAGAAGTGAGATTGGTGATCAGATCATTTCTGTAGGTGTGAGAGAACTGCTGATTTGGGATCCTAGATCTTTCAAGGATTTTATGGAGAAACCTTAAGGAGATTCCATTTTGCTGATGTAATCCCCCCCACACACACACACGCCAACTGCTATCCATTTATGCTCCTCCCTCCTGTATCACTCTTTGATGCTTGAAGGATTTTTCTCCAGCCAGGCTTAGATCCGTGAAGTCAGCGGCTCTAGGGGAAAAGGCTGAAAAAAGGTCAGGAGGAGGCAAGTTTTAGCTCCACACTCCATTTATACACCCCCCCCCCCCAATCTATGTGAAATCCTGGTGGAAGGACCCCTCATGTAAGCAGTGCAATCATCTAGAATTCCATCCCAATCGAGTTTATTTACTTCATTTGCACCTGACCTTTCTCCTCAATGGAGAGACCATTGCATCATTCTCCTCTGCTTACATCATTCTCCTTTGCCCCATTTTATCCTTGCAACAGCCCTGTGAGATAGGTTAGGTGGAGCGTGTGACTGGCCCAAGGTCACCCATCAAGCTTCCATAGCAGAGTGGGCATTTGAACCTGGGTCCACCAGATCGTAGTCCGACCCTCTCTGAAAATGCATTTTCCACTGAGAAAATAATAGAAAGTGACTATTGCGTTGATTTTTTAATACAACTACCTTTCCTTCTGATATTAAAGAATCTAGTTCTAGTTTAGTTCAGTCTGTACTTACCTGTAGGAACATTTTTATTCCGCCCTTTCTCCAAGGAGCTCTGAATGGTACACACGGAGGTTATGGCATTTTGTTCTCACCATTTCTCTGTGATGCAGATCTGACTGAGGCATAGTGACTGCTTCAAGAGCATCCTATGAGTTACGTAGCCGAATGAGAACTGAAGCTTATTTATCTTTAGTCCAAGTCCAATGTCTTGTTTATTACTTTCAGGATCTTACTATAATTTGAGCATCTTGCTATATATTTTTTTTGTTGGCCAGTGGACTGCAGCCAAGAACATGCATGGGTACTCCATGCACACACATAAGCACATGGCCCGTCACACCATTTCTTGCACATGTACAAAGCTGTATTTTCCCTTTCCTTCTCATACACGTGTCACTCATTTGTAAGCACAATCTCAGCTAGACCCTTTGAAGAACATCTCTAAGGAGGAAGCTGCTACTGTGAACAGAAACAAAGATCCAGTTCCTTGCTTCTGTTTCTGCTGTCTCCAGGGCTATTTTTGGGCAGGAACACACAGGAAATAAATTGAACCTAACCCAAAGCAAATTGAATTAAGTATGTGAAGGTGCAGAAAACATAAACATATAGGCCAAATAATACTGTTAGTCAATTAAAAAAATAGTACATATGAACAAATATACAAAAATGCATGTATTTATTTCACAATAGATTAAAAACAGATATTGGCCCTTACAATCACCTCAGTTATCATCAGGGCTATTTTTGGGCAGGAACGCACAGGAACGGAGTCCCGTCTGGCTCCCAAGTTGGCCACACCCAGCAGGAACACATTAGCATAACAGGCCACACCCAACAGCAGAAACTCATTGGAATTGGCTACATCAGGGGTGTGTGGCCTAACATGCAAAGGAGTTCCTGCTACAAAAAAGCCCTGGGTTTTGACCACAAACAAGGTAAACAGGATAAGAAGCAAAAGGTGGGTGTGGCTGGATGACCACACTTCTGGTAACATGGGAATGCAGCTTAATATGCTAATGAGCAGTGCCATCAGGGGTGTGGCCTAATATGCTAATGAGTTTCTGCTTCTGGGTGTGGCCTATTATGCTAATGAGTTCCTGCTGGACCTTTTCTACAAAGAAAGCCCTGGCTGTCTCCTTCCCAAGAATCCTCAAATGGAGACAGGGCAAGAACAAGCGCTTAAGTTGCAAGGTAGAAAAATCAATATGGCTTATTGGAAAGTTGCAATGGAAACAAACGGGAAGGGCGGACCACTGGCCTGAGGTTAACCTACACATTAGCATATGCATGTAGACCCATTAAGCCACAGGATGAGATGGAAAGTTCAGCCTTGTGCCCACTGCACATTTGTGCATAAGAAGAAACATTGGCCAGGGTTTGCCCAAGGTGAGAACATGCGGGAAAACGAAGCAAAAGTTCAAATGATGATGACTGAAGTAGCAATAATAAGATCTGACAACACTTCTGGCTATTTGGCTTTCCATGACTCTCTAGTGGCCGACCTTCCTCCATGGCACTCTCTTTCCGGGGGAGGCCAAGGGGAGGAGGAGGAGGAAGGGAGGAAGAGCTGGCAATTCTAAACCTTCTGTTTTGTTGTCAGGCAGTTTGTTTCTTCCTCTGGTTGTTTTGTCTGCACTGCCGAACTTCAAAAATATGCCCTAATCTGAGTAGCCAGTGAGTAAAGGAGTATACTTTGTGTTAAGTCGCTCGCTTAACAAAGTAGTCGGAGAGTGATTCAGCAAAGATTCCGCTTTATTCATCAACTCGAACATAACTCCAACACGGATCAACCTCTGATAGCCAGAACAGCTTTTACATTGCAGCTGTCCTGCTTTTAAACTCTCCCGGCTAATGTAGCCACGCCTACTGTACATTTACCAACCAACAAGGTTGCATACATAAGGACCAGTCACGCACGTTCCCACTCAGGGAGCTTGCTGAGAAGTGATTGGTTAGGTTCTTCCTGGGCTAGCAATGTGATTGGATGTATTTGCATCCTAGCCCAGGACGAAGCTTAACATAGCATTTCAATTATGTTGTGAACATACACATTATGCATTCAATGGCAGCTTATTGAATATAATATTACACTTTGCAAACTACATATTAAGAAGAAATGTGTATATTTGCTAAATGGTTGCTGCATAAATAGCCAATAGGCTCAACTTGCAGTTTGAGGGAAGGATTTTTTACCTGGATGATATGGTCACCTCTGTTTCCTTCCCTCACACCCCACATTTCCACATTCTGAGTAGGTGTTATTGAGAGTTTCAAACTCCATTGAAATGGGTGAAAATCATAGCCCGATCTATGCTTCCTTGGCTACAGGTCCCACCGAGTTCAGCACATAAGTTTTGTGGCCTCAGTCATAACGATGCATTTCAGCCTCATTAACTGACTGGAACGATGTGCACACTATTTCAAGTTGACTTCATTGCCTAGAAATTTTCTAGGAAAGGGGGGGGGGGGAAAGGCAAGCAAACACTTAAAATGTGCATATTTCCATGTATGAAATCAAGCGATACACTTGTGCACAGAGGATAACAGCTTTGTTATTAAAGTAAGGATGAGAGAGCCTCTGCTATGGTCCCTTAGGATATGGATGAGAGGAACTCTGCTAGACTTCCAAGTATCTATTTTCATCATTCATCAGGTGAGATAGCTTTCTTTTGTAGACACATAGATGCTTTTCTGCCTCAGAAGTAAAACTAAGTAACATTACTATTCAGCCATATGGCTGGCCTTTGTAAGATTTTTGCAGATGCTGTTGTATGTTTTTTTTACCTCCTTGTCTCATACAGTGGCAAAATTCAGTGTCTGTTGTGGATTTCAATAGATAGTCACACTCATATGTAAGGGTTTACCAAATCTGAAGGAATTATCAAAATAATTCTACCCTTCTGTGGGGGGAAATCCCACATAAAAAGCTCTGCTGCACCAGACCAGTGATCCATCCAATCCAGCATCCTGTCTCACACATTGGCTGACCACTTACTCTGGAGGACCAACAATAGGGCATAGATGCCAAGACCTTCCCCTGATGTTGCCTCCTGACTCTGGGATTCATAGGTTTAGTGCCTCTGAATGTCGAGATTCTCCTCTGTCACCATGGCTAGTAGCCACTGATGGACCTATCCTCCATGAATTTGTGATAGAACTGATCTCTGTGAATATCTTCCATGAATTCCTGAAATAGCTTTTTTGGATCTTGGCTCTTCTTTGGCAAAAGTGACTTCTCTATTTGTTTTGCAATCTTGCTGAATAAGTCTGATAGCTTGGTCATAATTTAAAGCTTTATGCATAATGTTTTCTCTCTTTTATTTAGGTTGACAATTAATGCTGAGTGTTACCTTAAGCTTCACAACTTTCCCATGGATGCACATTCCTGTCCGCTGGAGTTTTCAAGCTGTAGGTAGCAAAATACTTTCTGTATTTTATTTATTTATTTATTTATTTATTTATTTGATTTTTATCCCGCCCTCCCGCCGAAGCGGCTCAGGGCGGCAGGAATAACTCCGTCTTCACCGCTCTCCGGAACTGGGGAAGATCCCGGAGAGCGCGGATCTCATGTGGGAGCTGGTTCGACAATGTTGGTGCAGCTAAAGAGAACACCCTAGTTCTAGTAGTTGTTAACTTGGCGTCCCTAGGGCCAGGGAGGACTAAGCGGTCCTGCGACTCCGATCTCAGTGCTCTCGGGGGAACGTACGGGGAAAGGCGGTCCCGCAGGTAGACAGGCCCCAAACCATAAAGGGCTTTAAAGGTCATAACCAGCACCTTGAAGTGTATCCGGAACGCTATTGGCAGCCAGTGCAGCGCCCTCAGCACCGGTTGGATGTGTTCCCTCACAGGGGCACCCATCAGCTACCTAGCTGCCGCATTCTGCACCAGCTGCAGCTTCCGAAGTTGCCCCAAGGGCAGCCCCATGTAGAGAGCATTGCAGTAATCCAACCTCGAGGTGACCATCGCATGGATCACTGACGCGAGATCATTGCGTTCGAGGAAGGGGACCAACTGCCTAATCAGCCGTAGATGGTAAAAGGCTGCCTTGGCAGTGGCTGCTACCTGGGCCTCCATGGTCAAGGAGGCATCCAGGAGCACTCCCAAACTCCTGACCCTCGGAGCTGGCACCAATGGCACCCCACTGAAGGCCGGAAGTGGGACCCCTACCCCTGTACCGTATTTTTCTCTCTCTCTTTCTAGACTGATGCTCTGTTGTTTAAGAATATGCAGAGTGGTTACATTTTTCATTTTCTTAGGCTGCAAAGGAAATGCATGACAGGGATATGCAATTCAGGTATGAATTGATCAAATAATGAACCCTCAAGAAAACATGTTTTTAATGCCCATTTTTGAAAAACATCAACTTTTGTTAATATTAATTAAAATGTCTACATCTTCAATATTCTGCCACTTGGTTGTTAGAAGTCAGAGGAGAAGAGGAAGTAATGCAACTGACTAGGGATGGGCACGAACCTCCCCCCAAAGAGGTTCAGTGTTCAGGATGGCCCCTGAACCGAACCTTGAATTGAACCAACTCAAAAGGGCACCACCCGAACTGAGCTGGTCTAATGAGTTCAGATCCCCCTTTCTCCCAGCCATGGTGAGCCACCGACAGGAGAAAGGGGGCAGGGACCGCACTTGAAAGGGACTTCTCTTCCACCTTTCTCCTGGCCGTTGGTCACCAGGACCATAAGGGGGAGATGCCTGGCAGCGGTATATATGCTCACAGCTACTTAAACCTAACAGCTTGGTGGGTCCACTGGTCACCTGTTAGGTTTAAATGGCTGGCAGCTATTTAACTAGCAGAAACAAAAAGGGAAAAAAACTGAACCTAACAATGGAATCCAGAACCAAACAAAGGTTAGTGAAGAAGAGGGCCAGTATTAAAACCTATCTAATAAAAGTGGGGAAAGATACATGTATTTATTAATAACAAATTTTAAAACATATACAGGGGCCCATTTACAACAATTATATATAAAACATTACAATACCAAGGGCTTAAAAGCTTGACCTTACGCGTTTCGGCCAAATAGGCCTTCCTCAGAGGTCATATATATGTGGCAAAATGGCTAATACATATATTCACATACACACAATCAAGAATATATACAAAGTATAAATTTAATAAGGACCATAAAGTAAATTGTTGAAAAATAAAATCACCAGGCACAGGGTCAATATGTACATAAGGCCTTTAAAGTGCTATCACTAGCCCAGTGATTATAAAGTAGACTTGTGGTCCAAAAATTTCCTTCTTTGATTGTGTTGCCACAGTATTCACAAGTATTCACAGTATTCACAAGCTGGGAGCCATTTAAACCACTACTTTCTGCTCCTCATGAAAAGCCACAGAGATCAGAAAGCAGGGGTTTAAATGGCTCCCAGCCATTTCACCCCCTGCTTTCTGTTCTCTGTGGCTCTTCACAGGGAGCAGAAAGCAGGGGTTTGAACCCTGCTTTCTGCTCTTCACGAACTGCCACGAACTTCATCACAATTTGTGAAAGTTCGTGGTGATTGTTAGTTCATAAACATTGCTTCACGAACTGTGAACTGGCCAAAAATTCATTAAGAACTTTTGTTCATGCTCATCCTTAATGATTGTATTTAAAATAATATAAAGTTCAATCCCATACATTAACTTTCAGTCTAAGTCCAATTAAATCAATACAATAATGAAAAAGGAGTAAATATGCATGTGTATGTGTGTGTGTGTGTGTATATATATATATACACACACACACACACACATTATACAGTATAAAAAGGGCAAGATAAGAGACACAATTTATCTCAAGCTAAGCATCTTAACATCCCCTTTGTCCTAAAAGGGAAACGGCATATGCTTAAGAACATAAGACTTGTTGCCTCTGATGTCTCCAGGCGTTTTCCCCACCAAAGATCTCTTTTCGCTTTTCTTTAGAAGATTCCATCCCACCACCATCATAGTCAGCTGGAACCAACATGGGAAGCCAATTGGTTGGCCACCTGTGAAAGCCTCTCCTTCTCCAGTTTTCTTCAGTCAAGTCAACAGGATTTTTCCAGGAGCATCCTGTTGGCCATTAAGTGGTGGATTTGGTTCCTTGCAGACATTGCTGGCTGCGATGGAGAACAAGCGGTCACGGGTGTTGCCACTTTACCAAGCCACAGAGGAAAGAAAGAGCACATACGTGGAACTTGGCTGCAGTGGTTGCAGGCTCAATTAATTAGAAAATACTGGACATTTATGTGTTCAGTATTTTCTCAATTTTTTAGTGGACCAGAAGGGAAAATACTGGGCTATTCAGTTCAGAACTAGACACCTGATACCTCTATTTAGGAACCTTCCCTTCTTTTTGGGAAGGAAAAATGCACTATGCCCAAGCAGGCAGCTTGCAGTTCTGTATGCTGTGTCCCTTCTCATCCAAGAGAAAAGTAAGCCTCTTTGACTATGGTGATCAGCCCTTCGGTTCAGAGCCATGCTGTCAAAAGCCTACAGAAATCAATGTTTTGTTAGACTGAAAGATATGACTCTCACAAAAAAAAAACAACCCCAAAGGAACTGTCTAAGCACAAAATGGTATCCAGTGGGATAGCCTTTTGGTAAAAGGTAAAGGTTCCCTTGCTCGAAAGCCAGTCGAGTCCGACTCTAGGGTTGCGGTGCTCATCTCCATTTCAAAGCCGAAGAGCCAGCGCTGTCCGAAGATGTTTCCGTGGTCATGTGGCTGGCATGACTAAACTCCAAGGCGCACGGAACGCTGTTACCTTCCCACTGAAGTGGTACCTATTTATCTACTTGCAATTTCTCGCTTTCGAACTGCTAGGTTGGCAGGAGCTGGAACTAGAGACGGGAGCTCACTCCATCATGCGGCAACTCAGGTCTTGAACTGCTGAACTACTGACCTTCCACAGCCTGCAGTTCAGCATCTTAACCACTTGAGCCACCGCAGCCTCTTGGTAAGGTGTAGCAAAAACAAAAGAGGTTGTACGGCACTAACTGTGCTAAGGATCTGACAGATGCATCATAGCATAAGCTTTCATGGACAAGAACCCATTTTATCAGATGCCTCTAGCCCTCCCAAGAGCTTATGCTACAATAAATCTATTTAATCTTTAACATTTCCCTTTCACAATCTCACAAAACTCCTTTTTGCTATTTGGTTTTAAGCCATTTTAAAACATGCCCATGCTACAAACATGTAGCCCAGTGCTATTTCTGTTTTCTTTATTCTGCGTGACTTTCTCCAACTAAGTGCAAAGTTTGGGTCCAGTGGCCACTGAGCTCAAACTTTGTTCTGTTGCTTCAGGCCAACACGGCTACCCATCTGAATCCAACTAAGTGTATATAGGACTGTAATCTGAAATGGGTTTTCTTCGCAGGTGTGAGGGCTAGGAACAGAATTCTCAGCACTTCACCGAACTATAATTGGGTCCCAAAGTACCCTCTCCTCACATACTATCCATCGTGCCAGTTAAGATCTGCCTCTCAAGCTCTGCTCTCTCTGTGCCCCTGTCTTCAGAGGTGAGGCAGGTGGCAGCCAGAGACAGGGCGTTTTCTGTAGTGGCACCAAGTGGTACCCTTCCCCTTGAGATTCAGCTGGTACCTACTTTCCTTTCTTTTAGGAACCAGCTAAACTACGTTGTTTCCCCCAGGCTTCTGATCAGGGTTTTTTATCTTATCAACTTTTTAATAGTCTGCTTCTGTTTTATGGGTAGTTTTTATGCTCCTTGTATCTAATGGCTTGTTTTTTCATGGCTTGTTTTTACCCTGTTGTTTTTTTTTAAAAAAACGTAAGCTGCCTCAAGCAGGACTCTGAAGAAGCATCTTAGAAATATTCTAACTAATAAATATCATTTACAGGTTGCTTACGGGAGAAATCATGACAGTTGATGGAGTGTAAAACCAATATAAACTTTACAGTTTGGACAGTATTTTTATCCTGGTGATATCACACTGACCCAGGCGCTTTCTGCCTTCACCCAGGCAGTTTGCAAGCCTGATCTTTGCTGTTCTACAGCAACTCAAGAGGGGATGGATTGAGAGTGTATTGCAGGTGTGAAGCCCAGCAGTACTGGAGACCTGCGAAACCGATATGATCTCATCTGGCTTCTTACAGCTACTGTGTGTCACCTGCCTTCTGTCGACCAGTCTTGATGTTTCTACAGAAACAGACTTAAAACTGAACTGTTTGGTTTAAGATTGGTTGTTTATCAGCCTGGAAGAAGCTACCTTGAGCTTTTTTTCCGGGAAGAATTTGAGGCACACCAATCAGCAATTATGCAAAATTATCTGAGATGTGGCAAAAGATCTGTGTGGATATAACCATACAAAGATAATTGTCAATAGACTGATCCCTTGAGCATGGCATCATACCAGTCTCTGTCATTATTACTCACTCTACATTTGTCTAAGAATAAGTAGCTCCACAGGCTTTCAGTGCTATAAACTGTAATAAGCATATAAAATTAATTTGTTCCCAAGGACATCACACTGTCATGAACAGAATGAAATACCGAGTACATCTAAACAATTTATTTCTAGATATTAAACTTAATAGGCGATGAAATTTAACTAAAGAGTATCTTTTGAAGATGTAATTTATTGCTTAATCCTTTCTTCACTATTTAGATGAAATCCTTTCAGATTCTGATCTTTCCAAAGACATTTCCTCTGATGGTTCTTCTCATTATGAGGAAGCTTTTGCCCTTGGTGTTAAGTTAAACTAGCTGAAAATTCATCATTTGAACATAGGGTTTCTCTTCCATTTCTAGATGGGGGCATATTTAGGTTTGATGTACAAGCTACGCACATGATACGCAGGTGAATTTAACTGCAAAGACGTATTCAGAAATGAAACAAACATGTCTCAAAAGCAGTGTAAGACTGATTAATTTCAACAAATTACAGTGCATAGAGACTCCAAGACACTTCAAATAAGTCATGTTTAATGCCAATTGGAAGCCATAGTACTGATGTGTCAGTTGCAATTAACTTGCTCAATTTCGACAGAATTAAGCCATGACTAACATTATTGGATCGGGATCTTAAACTTCAAGAGATCCACTAAAATATTCTCTCTTTCCATCTCTTTCTCATTCATATCACCTTTTCAGAAGCTGCTGGTGATTAGAGCAGTAATAATGTTATTGGAACAGAAAAAAAGAGGGCTTAATTTAGAAGAAACTATTAGATTATGTGAGGGTATACATTTTGCCTCAATGGCAAAATGGTAGTTGAGAAGACAGCCTTTTAATACAATCTGCAGAATTCAGTAGATAATGTACCTTCAGGATCTTCCTTTGCTCTTAAATTCAGCTTCCAGTAGCAAACACCTTTGCTATCAAATTTTTCAGTGATTTCATTCATAATTATCTGGTTTGGAATGTGAAATTCTCCTGTTTGCAAGGGTTGGATGTATCACAGATAAGGCTGGGCTAAATCAGAGGAGTACACTCTGCTAAATGTATGAAGGCAGCTTTAAGAAAGGAGGGGGAAAGTGTACACATTCCCCCCAAAAAAATCCTGCTTAAAACAACTGCTGCTGCAACCCTTAAAGCCCTATAAGGCCTGGGACCAACATATCTTAAGGACTTCGTACTCCCGTATGAACCTACCTGGCCACTGTAGTCATCTTCAGGGGCCTTTCTTTAGGTGCCCCTTCCATCTGGGTGGCAACCCAAGAATGGAAAACTATTAAATTCTCCCCCCCCCCCGGGAAATCTGTCTATCCCTCTCTGTCGTTATCTTCCACCAGCTCATGAAGACTCCCACCTATTTTGTCTGGCATTTCCTCACTGGCTCTCCTTCGTGTGTATGTGTTTTAACTGTGTACGTGTTTTGTTGAATTGTATTTTTTTTTTCATTTTTCCTATTCTATTTCTTTGAAAGCTCACTCTAAATTTTTGATTGCTTGCTGCCTTGGGGACCCTAAGATGGGAGGAAAGGTAGCATTAGAATGTTTTAAATAAAAAATAAAAATAAATAGGTGCTATGTTCCAACTCACACAACCTTTAGGATCATCAAAAATTATCCTTAGTTTCTCTTACTTTGGTTGCAGTATAACTGCTTACCCAGCAGTTATGTGCCCAATTCTGTATAGGTCCATCTGCAGTCACACACACACATATATATAATTGCCTCAACACTACCAGAGGGTGCGTTCAGATGCGATGTTTGCAACGTTATAGGTGCCGGTTGCAATCGGTGTACTTACCGGCATTCAGACGGCGAACATCTGCCTTCCGTCCCTAACCGTTGTAAAGCGCTTTACACCGTTGCATTCTGCCACTAGGTCCCGAAGTGGTGGTATCCTGAGTGCAACGGTTGTAATCGGTTTACCTCCCCATCTGATCGCTCTCCAATGTTGCAGAGCCACTTCCGTTCAGAAGCCAGGGGCTTCCGATTTCCCCCCACTATTTTTTTTAAAAGGTAGGCGATATGCGCTTGGGCGAAGCTTCGCCCTGGCGTTTGTTTTTTTTAAAAAAAGAAAAGGTCCTTAGTTTACGTTTGCTCTTTAATGGGAGGCCAGTTTGCTCTTTAAACTTTAAACTTTGTGTGGTAGTTTTCTTTCTCCAATTCCTCTGCAAAGCTATCGAGAGGAAGCAAGCACGACGATGTTGCAATGCTAGCCAACTCGTCTCCATTTACAAAGACTTTAGGGGGGCGGGTGGGCGGGAGAGAAACAGCAGGGCTGTTAGTCTCCAGTCGTTTCCACGCAGTTGCTTCAGCAGCAACAAGTCTCCTGAGCTGGAAACGGAGCCGTTCCTGTCTTCCTGGCTGCGGGGATTCCTCCAGAGAGGAGCCGCCGCTGCCGTTCACATGGACTGCGGAAGGGCCTGGCAGTAAAATAGAGACGGATCTAAACAGACCCGGTGGCGGGGGAGCGGGAGGAGGGATTCAGCCCACCAGCCGCTTCGGAAAGCAGTTTACAATTAGCCTTTTAAAAAGGGCTGCTTTCAAACAGTCAGCTGGGACAGAGGAGGGCTTTTAACTGCGAGCCAGTTAAACTAAACTAAACTTTAAAGATAAGACGGGGTGTTTTGCACATGCACGAAGATCGCCATTCTGTGGATGGCTGCCTATGCGCATGTGCAAACTGAGTAAAAAAACACACAACAAACCGCCGATGCCCGCTGTGTGTGGACGGGCATACAGCGATGGGCTCCGCTGTGAGGGAGGTAAGTGTGATCGCGTTTCAGCCAGCATAAACTGCAACAGTTCCAACCGGAACAGTTTATGCCGGCTGAAACTCCCCGTCTGAACGAACCCAGAGAGTATTACCACAGCCTTCTATCATGATAGATTAATTGATATTGTGCTCCTGTTTTCTAGATGGATACCCCAAGAATGAAATTGTATACAAATGGAAGAAATCCTCAGTTGAAGTGGCAGATCCAGAATACTGGAGATTGTATCAGTTTTCATTTGTAGGTTTAAGAAATACAACTGATATCTCTCGTACTCATTCTGGTGAGGAATAACCTGGAATTTCCTTATATCAATTTCAAATGGAAGATCTTTGTTATGCATACTTCTGGACTCATACCACAGAGTATTTCAGCATGTTTGAAACTGTGTAATGAAAATGCAGTTGTTGTAGTTTTATTTGTTAGAAATTGAATGTGTGCACATTGGGTAATTTCTTTGCTTCCATTTTATCAGAGTACATTTTCCCAGTAGCAATTTTCATCCAGAGTAAGGTATCATTTGGGGAGGAAAGGCAAAATGAAATGTTTAGCGGAAAATCACTTGCATGGTATAATTGATTGTGAAATTCTTTTCTTGTAGGGGATTATGTTGTCATGACGATCTTCTTTGATCTGAGCAGACGCATGGGGTATTTTACGATTCAAACATACATTCCTTGCATACTGACTGTTGTTCTTTCCTGGGTCTCCTTCTGGATTAATAAAGATGCAGTGCCTGCAAGGACTTCCTTAGGTACCTGTGCTCTTCCAGTTCACCTGTACTTTAGTCATCGCACACATATATTCATTCATTTTATTACGGTCAGAGACCCATAGAAATCGCACACATATAGACATGAGCACCAGAAAGAAAATGAACCAGCGGTGCCTATCCTAAGCAGTGTTACACCCCTTTAAGTTCATTGACTTCAGCACACTTAAAAGTGTGCAACTTTTGCACTGCAAACGTCTTTGCAGTTAAAAAAATCAGAGACTGCCTTAGCAGTACAGTTTCTTCAGACAGCATGAAAAGAGTAATAATATGGAACATACCAAAGAGAGAGCATGAATCCACGATGTGCAACCTTGCCGTGTGAAATTATTTCATGGTATGTTGATTTATGGATGTTGTTCCAATTCCACCATCCAATTTTTTTCTTAATCAAAAGTCCATGTCGACAGATACAGAAGTGTCTGTTTTAACTGTTCCCCATGGTTGGCTATGGCCAAATATGTTCAGCAGTAGAATGATTGCTGTTTGAATAATGAAACCCTGTGTATACTATTCCATCTAGAATGCTGTATACATGAAGTAATTCCTCAAGCAGAAAAGCAGGTTTTCAACCATACCTGTATAACCCACTGTGGGGGGTAGGCTGGGAGGACACTGGTATGATTGTGCAATCTGCAGAAACGTGAAGGGAGTAACATCACACAAATGGCTTCCCACATAGACCATTTCTTGTGTGGTTTTATTTTCAGACAACCACCACAATGAACACAAGAATTAGCTGTAACTCGGGCATTTAATTTTCACTGTCTTCATCCCAGTTTATTTCAGGTTATTGAATTAAACTGTTGGGCATATTCTGTTGAGGGATGCCAGCCTCCAGTTGGGACCTGGGGATCCCTTGGAATTACACTTCATCTCCAGACTACAGACATCAGTTCCCTAGGAGAAAATGGATGCTTTGGAGAGGGGACTCTGGCATTGCACCCCACTGAGGTCCCTGTCCTACCCAGGCTCCATCCCCAAATCTCTAGGAGTTTCCCAACCTGGATCTGGCAACCCTACCCTCCCATCCCCCACTGGGGGCCAGAGGGGAGGCCAGCTACCCTATAGTCATAGGTTAAAAATGGTGGTATGGCAGGCTCATATGACCAGGCTAATAGAACATTGGTGCACTTGACTTGCTCACCAACAACACTTTCCAATAAACAGGACAGATGGACTCCCATTCTAGCTGTATCTGAAGAGATGAGCAGTGACTCATGAAAGCTCATACTCTGCCACATATTTTGTTAGTCTTTAAGGTGCTACTGGACTCTTGCTGTTTTGTACTGTCACTAGCAACAACTTGGCAAATTTGAATACTAAATAATACTCTCAAAGAATAACATGGACTTCAGTGGATTTGAAAGGGTATAGCTCTGCTTAGGATGGCGCTGTAAATCTGCCAGCTTAATTTACTATGGTATTTATGGTTTTCACTGCCAATGTACTATGGTGTTCACTGCTTTTATTTATTTATATATCTAACTTCCTTTATCATTCACCTTTCTCCCTGAAACTCAAGGCGAATTCCAAAAGTATAATGCAGTGTAATTTCAGCCACAAGACCCTAAAAAAGTGGGTTTATAACAAAAGCACCATAAATTATAATGCAATAGTAATAAAACAATCCTCAGATTAAAAGTACAAAATTCAAATAATATAGAGCAGATTATTTTCAAAATTACCTGAAGGCTTTCTGGAATACAACTATCTTGATATAAGTGACATTTACATAAATACAGTATATAAATAATATATAGCATAAATCCAACGTTGCCTTGAATAAGTTTGAAGCTTGTATTCAAAAATTCACTTTAACATCGAAACCTGTTCTTGTGTAAAATGTTGCCTACAGGTGGTTAGTCCAGAGACAGAATGCCAAACCATGTTGTGGTGCTACTTGAAGGAGCACACAGTTTGGAGCTGTTTTGCAGTCCTGGTTTGGAGAGAAAACTCAACCCAGAATCCTAATATAAAAGCTGATTGTGGTTTGCGCTAAAGACGAATTGAATGGGAGTGGATGAACACATCACTCATTGAGATAGTGGTTTGGCATTGTGTCTTGAACAAACTCAATGACTCGAATTTCAATTTCTTAACGGTAAAAACCAACAACAAAAAAGAATGTGGTGGGGGAGAGAAGAAAAATTTCAGCCCAGAACAGACAAGGTAACCAAAAAGGTGGGGGGGGGGAGAGGAAAACAATCCTCATATATGAATGTCAGTCACAAAAAAGCTAAAATTATATCCCAAAAACTTTAAATTACATTGTAAATACTTAAAAGTTGTGCATCAGAATCCATCATATATAGGTTACATATATAGGTACCCTAGTATTAAAAAAAAACACCTTTTGAGTAAGATTGCACTTGCGCACATGGGGATGTCACATACTTACAAACATCTTTCCTATGACCAGTTACAAATATAAATAACATAAGATACAGGGTGGACCAAACCAAATGCATTTCAGCCATGGTTTATATTTGTACAATACACACCATACAGTGTTTTTGTAAAAATTACAACATGCCTGAGCAAAGCACTGAACATGCAGATGTAATTTTTTTTACATGGTTTAGGTATCTTTCATTGTTAATTAGGACCATCAGAGGTAGCTTTCCAGATAGTTGATGTCAGTGGTCCAAATTTCTCTATGAGCCAGGTCAGGATAGAACATTGCCCAATGGTATGTATAGCTGCATACAGGAAACCAAATGCATGGCTGAAGTTTTTGGAATATCATTTTTAGCTTTTTTTTTTCTATCTTTTATGTTTCCACATAAAAGTCTTTTTCCCCCAACCTTTTTGGCTAACTAGACTTTAATTTCTTTCCACTCACCCGCTGACAAAAGTAACCCAATTAAAGTATCACAGATCATGGTTAAAACAATACTACATGTATGTTTCTGTGGTTTATACAGCCATGCCTCCACAGTCCATGGTAGTGCGTGCCTTGTAGATCCACAGAAATGGCCTGTTGTGTCTTCTAGAATCTTGAGATGCAAATATTCCTAAGATTTCTCATGATGGGAACCCCCCCCCCAAAAAAAATCTTTCTGTTATTTCTGAACAGGCATCACCACCGTATTGACGATGACCACACTGAGTACAATTGCAAGGAAGTCTCTTCCCAAGGTGTCTTACGTAACAGCAATGGACCTTTTTGTCTCGGTGTGTTTCATTTTCGTGTTTGCTGCCTTGATGGAGTATGGCACCTTGCATTATTTCACCAGCAACAGAAAAGGAGCCAAGAAGAATGACAAGAGAGTAAACAGGAAACCTGTGGTAAGTGCAAAAGCTGAGTGAAATGTTGGGAAGAGCAAGACTGAGAAGAGAATGTTCTAGCAAAGCAACACTGATCCTTGGGGGAGCTTTTCTAAACCCTGACCCAAGGAAGCCTGAAAATAGTTAACAGGTGGTGCTACAGAGACCCCAGAGTTCAGCCTCGATTTGGGAGGGAGCTCATTTATCAGACTAAAGACCAAAGGGTATAATGGGCGGAGCCCATATTTCTTGGCTGAGTGAACAGGTTTGTGGGAAGGAGCACACAGGCCTCTCACTTCCTGGCTTGGTGCTATCTGCAGGGTAAAACAGGATTCTGTTGTGCTCTATGGCAGTGTTTCCCAACCTGTGGGACAGGACCCAAAAGTGGGCTGAGGAGCCTCTAAAAGTGGGTTGCAGGCCAGCCCTTCCTAGAAGACGAAGTGATTGGATTTATACCCCGCCCTTCACTACCAAAGGAGTCTCAGAGTGGCTTACAGACTTCTTTCCCTTCCCCTCCCCACAACAGACACCCAGTGAGCGAAGTTCCCACTAAGCTGTGGAGTCTTGTGAGCAAAAATTCTACTCTGTGAGCCAATGGCCTTAAAGTTGTGAGCGAGCTATTTGGCTGCTGCATAAATTCGTTTGCTCTGGAGCCATCCTTCCTGAGCTAAGATAAGAATGTGTGAGCCAGAGGCTAAAAAAACTGTGAGCTAGCTCACACTAACTCAGCTTAGAGGGAACACTGCCGGTGAGGTAGGTGGGGCTGAGAGAGCTCTGACAGAAACTGCTCTTTTTCAAGAACAGCTGTGCCAGAACTATGGCTTGCCCAAGGTCATCCAGCAGGTGCAAGTGCAGGAATGGAAAGAAACCCGTTTCTTCCAGATTTGAATCTGCACTCCTAACCACTACACCAAACTGGCATCTCCTACCCTTTGCTTCCCTTCTCTTTCTTTTCTCCTCACCAACTTCTCACATTCTCATCTCTGCCTCCCTCTTTGTGACAATAATGAGGGCGGAAAGGCCATCTAGCAACTAGTAGCCACACGGTAGTGGCAGAAAGAAAGGGGGGAGATTGGAGAGTAGCATTGCGGTCACACACACTAAATAATCCCCTTTCCACCCACTTTCCATGCACTTTCCAACTGGATTTTGCCAGTTCACACAATAGAGATCCAGTTTGAAAGTGGTTTGAAAGTGGATTATCTAGCGTGTGTGACCGCAGCCTAGGTAGGAGCTATTCAGCATGCTGTGGAAAAACCAGAGGTGGATAGAAAAGAGGTGTGGGAGGGGGCCTTCATCCAGGGGCTGTTCCTGCAGCAGCCCAACCTCTTGCTTAGCCCACGGCAGCACCTCATTGCTCTCTGCCTTCTGTGGGAGACGTAGCCCACGGAGCCCCTTGCCGGTGCCGCCAACCTCTTCCCCACCATCTTCACATCTAGACTCAGCACACCCCAAGCAGCCCTCCTTAAACTCCAGCTCTGCTCCAGCTGGCAACTTATGGCAACAGGGGTCATTTGCCATTGCCTGCCTCTGCATAGCAACCCTATTGTTGGTGGTTTCCCATCCAAGCACCAGTCAGAGCTGGCCCTGCTTAGATTCCAAGATCTAAAAAGACTGGCTAGGCCTCTTTTTGCAAGCCTCCTTCTGCTGCGGCAGAGAGTGGACGAGACGGGAGGCTAAGGATTTTAATGAATCAATCCACGCAGCATCTCACCATCCCTCCAAACGGCACCCCCTCCCCGCCATCTCTTGGGCTTGTGTTTCGTTAGGAGAACAAGACCCTCTGCTCATGCAAACAGCAAACCGAAAATATCTACGAATCAGCATTTTGCTTCGTGCCCAGTTGAGTACTGGGGAAGACAACTCTGACATTTATAAATCATGTATGCGTTTCTAACAATTTGTGACATTGTGATAAATGCCAAAACAAATGGGAAACATATTTTATTAATAAAATGCGGTCCTGCTCTGTCACTTGGATTTCATGTAGAGTGGCATGCGTACAGGTGGGTCGGGTGGTAAAATGCACCCTCTCTTGGGCAGCCAAGCAGAGAACAATTGACTCATTCAGCCTCATGGCTTTCCCTCAAGAGAGCAGCAGCACTTGCTCAAGCCTAGCTCCAAGTTCACCAAGGCCGTTGCTGCTCTCGTGCACTCTTTTCCCACTCTGGAAAAGCTATGCTGGGAAAGCCCCCCCCCCATGCATCACTGCTGATGCTTTCTTCAGTGTCGGTGCAGCGGCTGACCCTGCCTACTCTGTCCTGTGACCTGCTGTACGGTGGCCCGTGGGGCCCACCCACATAGCACGTTTTATCCCACCTTCCTCCAAGAAGCCGAGGCTGCTGATATGGCTCTCCCTTCCCCTTTCCATGTTATCTTCACAACAGCCCTGTAAAGTATGCAAATTTGAACCTAGCTCTAATCATGAATTTCCCTAATCAGGAATTGGAACCTAGTCCACCTAGCCCTAATCAGTCACTCCATCCATGACACCACACTGGCTACATTGTCCCCTTTTGAAATAAAACGTTCTGGTATGTAGCTGGCAAGCTTGGAGGGGTGGAGGTCTAGAACAGATGGGAAGTTAGGGGGCAGTGCCTGGCATTTAGGAGCCAAGGCGAGGGTGGAGCCCACCCAGTCGTTTTAGGAGGGTTTAGGGGCAGAGCCAAAGGGCTTTTTTTAAAAAAAAGATGCATGTGTAGAACCCAGCTGTCTGTTCCCATAAGCTTCACAGCTAAAAAATTGGTGGGGCCAACTCTGGATTCAACTCGTTTGTTCCTTCCTACCAGGTTTTCACAAGCTGGGGAAATAACTGATGTGTAGTTGTACCCTATTATATGCATACAACATGCAAACCATGGAATAGCTCTGTACCTTTAATACTCCCAAATGAAATGCAAGACCAGGCTGTTGCAGCATCTCCCACCCTGGTCCTTCTGTTTGCCCTTACCTGCTGTGCGGCACACCTGAAGTCCTGATTTTACATCCAGTGGGGTAGATAACTGGTTCAAAGGAGAGATTGGAGATGCTGCATCTCCTGGTGGTCAGTTGGGAGACCTGGAACAAATCTCTTGAGCTGCAACTCTAGGAGAAGATGGCTTTATGGTGCCTCCCCCATGAAGCTTGTCTGTTACCTCTCTTACATTCATTTAGGCACCAAGCTAAAGCATTCCTTCTTATCTTGGCTTTTAACTATGGGCTTTCAGATATTTTCTGGGCAGCTTCTGACACAGGGATCATTTTATCAACATCCTTTGAGGTTCCTTGGGGTATATTATATGTCATTGTTATGCCCTGTTCTGTTGCAGTGGCATAATTGGCTGTGTTTCAGAGGTTTGGTTTTTAATGCGTTTGTTTTATTTATTTATTTTAAAAATATACGACCTCTCCAGGAAGCTGCTGATGTGGCTTTTAAAATAAAAATAATAAAAACAAAACTTGAAATGCATTAATTAAAACCCAGAATTAGGGGGGGGGGGAACAGCTCAGCAATAACACAAAGACCATAAAAAAGACCACACACTGCTTAACATAAGAACATAAGAGACGCCAATGTTGGATCAGGCCAAAGGCCCATCCAGTCCAACACTCTGTGTCACATAGTGGCCAGAAATACCAGGTGCCATCAGGAGGTCCACCAGTGGGGCCAGGACATTAGAAGCCCTCCCACTGTTCACCCCCCATAGCAGTTCCCAATGAAAATAGTGTTTAAAAAATCAAGCCCTTAATTAAAAGCCTCAGGGAACAGAAATGTTTTGACCTGGCACCTAAAAGAAAGCAAGGTAGGTACCAGGAAATCCTCAAGGGGGAGAGTGTTCCAAAGGGAGGTGCCACCACTGAAGAAGCCCTGTCTCTAATTGCTGCCCATTTCGCATCTGATGGTGTGAGCACAGCAAGAAGGGCCTATGGGCAGATCTTAACTGGCAGACTGTTTTATTATTATTAACAAAATTTATATCCCGCCTTGCTGCCCTTACAAGGACTGCAAAAGGAGCTAACAATTCAAAATAAACATGATCAAAAATAAGGGTTTAAAATATACAGGATAAATATATACAAAATAATAAAATCAAAACCCCTCTCAAACATACATCATTAAAAATTATTTTTAAAAGAGTTAAAATACATACAAAACAGGTTAAAAAGGTAAAGGCTTCCCTTGCTCGAAAGCCAGTCCAGTCAGACTCTAGGGGGTGGTGCTCATCTCCGTTTCCAAGCTGAAGAGCCAGCGCCATCCGAAGACGTTTCCGTGGTCCTGTGGCCGGGCATGACTCAACACCGAGGTGCACGGAACGCTGTTACCTTCCCACCGAAGCGGTACCTATTTATCTACTTGCAATTTCTTGCTTTCGAACTGTTAGGTTGGCAGGAGCTGGGGCCAGAGACGGGAGCTCACTCCATCATGCGGCACTCGGGTCTCGAACTGCCGAGCTACCGACCTTCTGGTCTACAGCTCAGCGTCTTAACCTCTGAGCCACCTAAAATCATTGGTTAGGAAGGAGGGATCATTGGGGGAATGCCAAACAAGTCCCAGAGCTTTGGTCCCTTGACCAAGGAGGCCCTCCCTTGACCAAGGTCACCCCCCACCTGAGCTTAGAAGGGAGGGTACCCAAAGCGTGGCCTCCGAAGATGACTGTAATGGCCGGATGGGTTCATAAGGGATTCGGTGGTCATTCAGATATGTTGGTCCCAAACAATATAGGGCTTTCGAGGTCACTTGTGCCCAGAAACAAATTGGAAGCCAGTGTAGACAGGCCAAGAGTGAAATAGTATAGTCCCTACAACCCACTCCAGTCCAAATCCTGGCTGCAGTGTTCCCTATCAATTGAAGTTTCCAAATACTTTTCAAGTCTTTAATGGTTTTATTAGTTATAAGCCATCTGGAGCAGGTTTTTGGAGAGATGGCATATAAATTTTCTAAATCAAGAGCCAGTTAGGTGTAGTGGTTGAGTGCAGACCAGTGTTCCCTCTAAGCTGAGTTAGTGTGAGCCAGCTCACAGTTTTTTAGCCTCTGGCTCACA